GCTAAAGCAAATTAATCATTATGCTTCCTGATTAGAAATGTCAATAAATTCGCGGATGAAAAAAGGAAAAAATAAGGATAACAAGTTATTGTAAGACCAAATATATTATATGCCAGCAGTGGTTGTGATTCATACCATGAAAATCACATAAAAAGATAGAAATACTAGTAGTCATTACAGTGCAAAAAAGATCAGTGCGTTTTATTAAACATTCATACAGTAGATAACTTGTATCAGTCCATACCATACTTCAGGAATTAAAATTCTTGGAAACCATTTTGAAAACTAAATAAATATTTGCCCACCTCAAATGGAATCGTATCTTATTTTATCATTTCTTTTGGATATTTCTGGAAATATTTTTGCACCAATAAGCACACAAAAGGTGAGACTTTGTATCTTTGCAAAAATTTCTAAATTCTCTCTCAAAGTCCATACGGAAAAAATGGCTTCAGCGTTATGACGATGTAGGAAGGCGTCACAGAAAAAAAAATTAAAATAGCCTTTCAAAACGTCATAATTATTTGGACTCACATCAACCAACACTCACAATACAGACTTTTCCCTCGTATCATCAAAGGCTGGAGCAGCTTACCAACAAAACTATTAGATGATGCAGAGGCATTTAAGAAAAGCCTCGCATCTTATTTAATAAGAGTAGACGCGCAAGCAAATGATAACTTTTAATCTGCACATGTAAATCACCATATTTAATGACCGATTTAGTACATGTACCTGCTTGATGGATACTAGACTCTGCATTACCATTACTGGGCGCTATACATGATACATCTGATGAATAAGAAGTGTTGAACTATAGCGCATCGAAGAGATGCCCAATCTATTATAAATTACAAAACCCATACCGTATAGTAAGCTATAAAGGCCCCCGACTCAACAAAATGTGAATTCAATGGATAAAACCAACGGTCAAATTTATGCTTAAAAATAAACCAAAATATAACTATGCCAGACAGCAAACCCACAAAACCACTGACTTGCAGGCTCCTTACATGGGGAAAGCACATAAATGATGTCGATTTAAGTCGTTGTCTAATCTTCACTAAACAATATTTTTATAGAATTTTACGTAAAACTTATGTTGTGACCTTTTAGACAGTTACAAAAATCTGTATGGAGGTTAAAAATAAAACCTACAAACTGTCAAAAACAAATTTTAAAATGAAGATTATCTCAACTTTGATACATGTATTGGATACACCCCTGATGGCGTTAGTCTGATTAGTTGTATCTAATATACACATAAAACAAAATGATTTATTTCTATAATTAATGAGGGGCTCTTTCAGTGTATATAATGCAACCAAATCATTATTTCTATCTTTACATTGTAAGATATACTTAAAGTCCAGTTTTCTCATATTTTTAGGCAGTCATGCATTAGAATAAAAAGTAGTGATAAAAGAAAAGGCATATCAGAATATATGCCAATAAAAAGTTTATTATGAACAAGGCAACTCTAAATAACAATATTAACAGTACCAAATATACTGCACAAAATGCGCATTTCAACAATAAATGTCTCTTCAGTGATGCTCGAAGCCAAAATATTTGAAAATCCAAAACTTATTAAAAAAAATGAAGTGCTTAATAACAAGAATGGACAAAAAATATAGAAAGAATCAGAGCTTTGCTTTAGGGAAATATATTACTTAATTCAAAATAATATTAAAACTTTTCTAACAGGAAATTTTATTACCACAATGTCCGTATTTTCATGCCAGTACCGAAGTACTAAAGACATAGATTAAGATAAAATGTGTTTACACGTAGTAACATACTAACAAATTATGTAACATATGTTAATTTCCACGTAAATACAAAGATTGTCATTTGAATAGAATAAGATAAGGTACTGTTGACTATGACCTTTGTCTTTATATGAGGTTATCTTCCAATTGCTTTTCTGAATATCTAAACCAAGCAATATGGTAAGATTTTATAAAATCTTAATCAAGGTCTGAATATTACTTAGACATTAAAAATAAATCTTATTTGCACTTTTACTGACAATTGATGCAGATTATCTACATAACAAATGTTATATACGTGGTGTATAGTTTTTATTAAACTTTGGAATTCCACCAAAATTCAATAACAATTAAGGCAGCTGTCTTATAGTTCGCACTTGTATCTGTCATGGTTATAAGCTGCATTCAAGAAAAAGACAAAAACGACCTCACTTTTACAAAAAAAAAATACCTTTGAAGTACCATTGAATCATTGATTTTTTACTATAAAAAGTCGTTAAAAGTTGTTTTTCTTGTAGTTCACTTTTTAAAAAATTCCGTCAAATATGCAACAGAAAATTTGAATAACAAAAGGGCCAATAAAATTTCCGATAAAACTCTATCATATCGGTATGAAAATGTTCAATAACATAGGAACCCGAATTTCTTGAACTTTAACATGGATCCGACATCTATAACCAAAAGCAAAAGAAGTGATGATTTGATTAACTGTTAATTGTGTTATTTGAGTTCTACTACAAAAGGATGATACCTTTTTAGTGCATAAACAACTTTCATCAGGCTCCTTGAAAACCAAATTTTTACAAAGTTTAACCGGAAGGACATGACAAAGTTTATACGAAAAATAGTATCAAAATGTATTATTTGAATCATGCCAAAACCATAGCACAGTATTCTGGGCAGATGTACATTCAGGGACCAATCGTCCAACAGTAACACCAGCGTCTCAGCGATGGTTATTAGACACGTAAAATTCATGTCATAAAAAGCAGTGTATGCTATGTGAATATAAAAAACTGTTTTGCTTGTCCATAGCTTTGGCTCAGTTGATTCGTAAAATTATTCTTCTTATGGGAACATAATTATATTTCTTAACAAAAAAATTCTGAATAGAAATAGGCAAAACCTGTTCAAATCTATTTAAAAAAAAGTCGTCTTTTCAATTTTATGATTCGATGTATCCTTTGGATGTCATTCTCTTCTGTCTCTTTTTTATCTAAAGAACTGATGATAAAAAACGACTTTTTTTCCAGAAATATCTGTTGTTGGTGAGTTTTTTTGCAATTTCGTGCGCCTCTAGGTAAGTAACGAGTTTCTGGTTATTATAATGATAAGCAAACGATGCACCAATGCATTCATATATACTTAACTTAGTCCCCTGTAGGCGTATTTTACATTTATTACTAATCCATAACGTTTGCGCTGTGCAATTGTCGAATTTCTAATGAGAGTGGTAAGGTCACTGCCTACGGTAAAGTCGTCGGTGAATTAGAGTACGGGAAGACAATAATTCAATAGAAGATTTTGATACATTTAGAGGAAAGTCTATGTAAACGTGCTTTAAATTAATACATAGCCATTCAATATAAAAAAATAAAAAGATGTGGTATGATTACCAATGAGACAACTCTCCACCAGAGACGAAATAAAAAACGTAGAAGTAAATAAAACATATTAATTGTTTGGTTAAAGTTGAGGGATCATAATAATTTAATATTTTACAGCTGTATTCGACCTTTAAGGTCTGGTTATGCATTTACAACTTTAAAAAATAAAAAATATAATAAAATATACATGCCTTTTATGAATTATTTAACGAAATTTTAGTGGTCATTATGTATATTGAGGTCTATCAGAACAGAGGAGAGGGTGAATTACCCCTAACATGCCTTGCCGTTTTAAAGACCGCCAATCAAGAATCATCTGTATCATTGTATATAAATAAGATAAACGACCGAACAGGATGACAGAAACAAAAACTTTCGTTTTCTTTGAAAGTACGACTTCGAAAAAATAGTTCACTCGAGTATAAGGTAAACGAATGAATCAACAGAACTATACAAATCATCAGTAGCACTGAAAAACTTGAAGTTGAGTACTTTATTTAGTAAATAAAATGTACAGGAAACTTCTTATAGCTATTTTCATTAGCAAGGCGTTAAATACAATTGGCGGGGGTTATTTCTACGTTATTCTTATAATCATAGTATGTATGTTTTTGTTCGATAAAAATTGTAGACAATATTATTAGTTACATGGTGTGTAAGTGACCTAATACGATATATATGGGGTCATTAAATTCCATATTGGGAATCGAGCTTCGCTCTCACCGTGTAACAAATTTATCGTACCGACTTTCTTCACATGTGGTATTTAAACTAGCGGCCTATTTAAGTGATTAAGTCTTCAATACTAAGTATTAAGAACCTACTTCCATTTGTCTATACAAAAAACAAATGCCAACAATAACAACTTGTTAGCTTTAAATTTGTTTTATGAATTTATTTCAATCGTTCATTTTCAATTTCTTCGTCTGTTGAAACCTTTCAGATTTCTTTTTTTGTTTTGAAAGGGAAGTAACTCCTTACCAACCCCATATATTTTAGGACACACCTATATCAAATATATGTAGTCACCACGTGTAGTCCTTTAACCAATCATATCCGCAGAAATCTATAGGAGGTAAGATAAAGGCATATGCAAAAACAGTTTAAAGTACTTTCTGTAAAACTTTTGTTTGAAACATGTGAATAAAAAGAGAACGGTATCTTTTCAAAATATAAAATATACTTATTCATTCATTACTTTTCAACATATTAATCTGTTTGCAGCGTCTTAGATTTATACGGCGTAATCAATGTATTGTACTTGAAAGCAGATCGAGATGCCAACGGTATAATAACCATACCAGAATTAAATGGTGTTTACCAAGGATTCGATGTCAATCGTAAGTATAATAACCATACCAGAATTAAATGGTGTTTACCAAGGTTTCGATGTCAATCGTAAGTATAATAACCATACCAGAATTAAATGGTGTTTACCAAGGATTATATGTCAATCGTAAGTATAATAACCATACCAGAATTAAATGGTGTTTACCAAGGATTCGATGTCAATCGTAAGTATAATAACCATACCAGAATTAAATGGTGTTTACCAAGGATTCGATGTCAATCGTAAGTATAATAACCATACCAGAATTAAATGGTGTTTACCAAGGATTCGATGTCAATCGTAAGTATAATAACCATACCAGAATTAAATGGTGTTTACCAAGGATTCGATGTCAATCGTAAGTACAATAACCATACCGGATTCGATGTCAGTCGTAAATATAATAACCATACCAGAATTAAATGGTGTTTACCAAGGATTCGATGTTAATCGTAAGTATAATAACCATACCAGAATTAAATGGTGTTTACCAAGGATTCGATGTTAATCGTAAGTATAATAACCATACCAGAATTAAATGGTGTTTACCAAGGATTCGATGTCAATCGTAAGAGTTTTGGAATAATTTACATGCAAAACGAGGTTTGCCCCGTAAAAATTGTTACTCAGTGCCTGAGCTGACACACACTGTTTTTGGTCAGATCGTACACCAAACTCTGGTACTTGTCTAAATTCTAATGACCATACGCACCAGTACTTAATTCATATCTCATATCATATAATACCGTTATAAAATGTCTGCTAATTTCACTCGTCCAGATCCTTGTGCACGTATTCCGTGTTATGTATATTTATTATAATCTGACTAATAATATTCTTCATCTGAGTATCTCTTAATCAAATTAGAGATAACCGTCATATGGCGTATCTAATACAGGGTATCGTTCAAGGATCAAGCTACCAACCTATAATATCATCGTCTTTTAAGAACATCATATCTACATAAAGGCAAACAATATTTCAATTTCAGCTAAAATAACAATATTGTTAAAAGTATATTCGTATGATTAACATGAGTACATGTAAAGTAATGTTATTTCACTTTCAATTACTGCAGAAAGAATGAAGTGTAAGTAAGTGACAAATAAATGTAACGAGTGTATCCAAATTTGTCAACTGTGTTATTTGGAGGACGTGTTTTTCACCATTAATCGGCATTCCCATGGGAACAAACTCTCTTCTTGCCGACTTGTTCCTTTATTCATATGATGCTGACATCATACAGGAACTTCTTAGGAAGAAAGAAAAATATCCTTTAACTTCACTTTCCGCTATGTAGATGATGTTTTCTCACTAACTAATTTAAAATTTGGAGACTATATTGAACGCATCTATCCCATCGAACTTGAGATAAAGGATACAACAGATACAGTTAAGTCTGTCTCATATCTTGACTTACATCTGGAAATTGACAATGAGGGACGGTTGAACACAAAACTTTACGACAAAATAGATGATTTCAGCTTCACAATTGTGAACTTTCCATTTCTATGTAGCAACATTCCATCAACGCCTGCATATGGAGTATATATCTCCCAGTTGATACGAAATTCAAGGGCTTGTATTTCCTATCATGATTTCCTTGATAGATGGGTTGCTGCTCACAAGGAAGCTATTAAACCAAGAGTTCCAAGTGGTGAAGTTGAAATCGTCCCTTCGTAAATTCTACGGACGCCATCACGAGTTGGTTGACCATTATAGAATATCCGTTTCACAGATGACAACGGATATATGTTCCAATTGTCGTAACTACAATCTCGTCCCCTTTTCCCCGAATGTGACCTACCGAATTAGACTTGTCACCGAGGATCTGCTTACCCTTCCGGAGAACCTGAGATCACCCCCAGTTTTTGTAGGGGTTCGTGTTGCTCAGTCTTAAGTTTTCTATGTTGTGTTTTATGTACTAGTGTCTGTCTATTTGTCTTTGTATTTTTAGCCATTGCGTTTTCAGTTTATTTTTGACTTATGAGTTTGTATGTTCCTTTGGTATCTTTCGCCTCTCTTTTGCAACAGATAATATTGACAGACACATCGGCAGTTACGGCATGCCCATTCTAGCAGTATCGTCCATCTCTGTAAATGTGTGGCAATAAGGATTAGAAAACGATTTTTTTAAATGAGCATTTTAATTTGATAAAATGGCCAGAAACATCTGATATTTCAGTGTAGTTTGTTTAGGGTGTAAACAAACAAAGCATTTTGACAAAAAGTAAAAAAAAAACAGTAGATATAGAGATGATATATTAATTATCTTAAACAAAACAATTTTTGGTGTCTCATCTGTTCCCTTTATGGAGAGTCTGGACCCGCCACATTTATTTAATAAATAATTGTTGTTTTATATCAAACTTCCGTTGACCTCCACGGGAAGTTCTACTAGCTTATTCTTTAAACTAGTGGAGCAGAGTCGACTTACTCTTTCGGAGCACCTGAGGTGTTGGTGAGGTTTGTCTTGCTCAGTCTTTAGTTCTCTATGTAGGGGTTTGTCTTGCTCAGTCTTTAGTTCTCTATGTAGGGGTTTGTCTTAATTGCTCAGTCCTTAGTTCTCTATGTATGTCTTGCTCAGTCTTTAGTTCTCTATGTAGGGGTTTGTCTTGCTCAGTCTTTAGTTCTCTATGTAGGGGTTTGTCTTGCTCAGTCTTTAGTTTTCTATGTAGGGGTTTGTCTTGCTCAGTCTTTAGTTCTCTATGTATGTCTTGCTCAGTCTTTAGTTCTCTATGTAGGGGTTTGTCTTGCTCAGTCTTTAGTTCTCTATGTATGTCTTGCTCAGTCTTTAGTTCTCTATGTAGGGGTTTGTCTTGCTCAGTCTTTAATTCTCTATGTAGGGGTTTGTCTTGCTCAGTCTTTAGTTCCCTATGTACGGGTTTGCAGACTTGTTTGTCTTTTCGTCGTCTTTCCGTGGTTTGCTAAAGTGTTGTCAGTTTATCTTCGAGTTGTGAATGTTCCCTTGATATGTTCCGGCTGCGAATAGTCAGTCTTAAATAGTACCATTGTTAAACCTTTGACCCATTTTTATATTTAGGAGATATTGTTTTTCGTCATGATGTTGTCTGTTTTTACTATTTTTGATTCCCCTTGGTATCTACTTATTCTTTTGCAGATGATGGCACAGTGACAAAGCAGGAGTTTGTGAATTTCTGGCAGTTACTTACACACCAGACCAAAGAGCATTCAGAAGCATATTTTTACCTGGCAGATCTCAATGACGATGGCATTATAAACTCTAAAGATTTAGCACCACTGCATCATGTTTTTGATCTTGATGGTAAACTTTAAGTATAAAATCACTTTATCAAGTACGAAGTACGAGGCCAGTCATTATCTAACCCTAAAATTGCAAAATTAGTAAAATTCTCCAATCTTATAGAATGTCTGTTTATTTTAACGATAAAAGTAGATGATAACACAATCTGGACACTTAGAGTACAGAAATGACAGTGTGAATCAGAGGCTAACATGGTGATATGTTTGTAATAAAACTGCTACTTTTAACATACAATGTCAATGTACAAAAATATAGGTGATGGTATTAAAATAAGATACTAGTTTTACCACAAATGTATTAATTTACCCATATCATCACCTTTGCATGAGCCATCTTGCAGTAATATAGATTTCTGGAACCGTTGTTGCTCATATTTAAATATAAATGACATGATCTCAAACTGAGGCAATTATGATACTAAGTAGCAGTTTCGCAATATATAAAATGAGTTTGAAGACCAAAAGTAAACATGTAAGAGAAAAAGAGAATACTAATATATGACAGACAAATGTCTTGTGAAAGTTCAGATCACCGCCAGTCCTTGATAGACATGGTTGAGAATTATCCTCTACACTCAACATATATCGATTGTGTGCAAGTACCAAAACGTAATATTTATCAATTTTACCATATAAACACGTCCGGCTGTTTAAGGCTTAAGGTTACACGTATAAAACACATTTTAACTGCTTAACCTTAGAGCTATTTATAAACACGAAACAAGTAGATATGGAAAGGTTGCTAATGAGACAATTATGAATACTTTTTCTCAAAATTAAACTTAGTACTTTTTTCCTTTGTCTGTCACATAATTGAGTGAAAATTAATTTGATGGCGAAAAAAAAAGAAGATGATAATGTGTATAAAAGCTAATTTAAAGGATATATTAAAAGCTGCACTAGCTGAATCTTGATTTTTATAGGGAATGGTAATGTGACTGCCAAAGAATTTGGTGAAAAATGGATGGGTGTAAGTAAACATTAATACTTTGTAATTTGGTAGAAGTTTAAATACTTTCAACCAGCACTTAAGGATTTACTTGGTTGTGAATGTAAATATCACGGTAGATATAGTGTCTGGCGGAGATCATGTTTTTTCGAGTGAATCGGTCCACCTTTTTCGAATGTAGATCGGGTTTTTTCGAGTGATAAAACATGCGATCCGGTCAATTAACTGCTATTATGCAATTATAGTAGTTTTATTCATGACCGTCCATGTTATTTTGAATACTATACAAGTTTTGAGCACAAAAGACTCACAATTTCGTTGTATTTAACCTAAAATTCAGATATTTACATTGTCCGTGTTTTACGAAAGCAACAGTTTTAAAAAACGTCCGGGTTTTTTAACAAATGGTCCGGGTTTTTTGAAGAAAATGTGAATAAAAAAGAAGACATTCTTTGGCTTAAAAACTGACTTTTTCTAGTTTTTTATTGTAATTTAGCGATGAACAATATTATATATTCTGTATAAGTCACAAAAACAGATTACCATGTTGATCAAATTTAACTGTTTTCAATTTAATGATAAATTTTTGTTTTGAAGACATTTTACCATAACCTAGCAGTATTACGATGTATAAGAAATCAATGGGTCCGTTTTAAAACGGTCGTAAGAACCGAGTACAGGGACTCGTAATCTTTAAATTTTGATTTCATTGCATGCTGCCTTTGTTTTTACTGTCAATAATATTTTATGATTGAGATATTATATTATAGTGACGAAAAAACTGAGGAGCAAGAAAACTAAGAAAAAGGAGTAAACAATCAGAAAAATTCAATATAAACCCAAATATTCTACTAAAAGGGGACCCCCTAATAAAAATAAATAAATTACAATAACTTTTGAATTGAATGGAATATCTAATAAAAAATGAAAACAGCACTTTATAAATTCATGCTATGTGACCAAAGGGACCTAAAATTAGCCAAATCCATCTAAGGTCAACTTTGCCTGATGGAGTTGAAACCTTAGCCTCTTTGTTATGATTTTTAAATTTATAAACGGAGAATTCTATATAAATGATTCATTGTTGGTTGCTTAACGTCCAATGGCAAAATCTGTCATGCATGTTCCGGACGAGAACAAATTTACAGTAAATCCAATAAGTAGGTCCTGTAACAGAGGACGTTCGGGATAAAGGTCGGGAAATTTAGACTGTCACTGATAATGAGAGTATATTGGATATGGACAGAAATTTTGCCTTGCAACAAGCCACTTACGGAACATTCAAAGAGGTGTTGCAAGGGTTCTTAACGTGCTATGAGTGTAGCACTCTCTACACGCCGGGCGGCGCCCCATTCTGCCCGGACGTGACTGCGTATTTGAACATCCCATACGACCAAACGGACGTCTCACTTCGGCTGATATTGAACCTTGGGCTGATAATACATCTGATATGAAAAGTTACATGTTATGATCTTTTTACCCCATGCGATAACGTTACGAAAATGCATGTGATTATAGCTGGAAGCATGTGATAAATTTTTCATATCAGCCTGCTAAACAACATTTCGGAAAATATGGAATTCACGTAAATTTAATGCTATTATCATACAGTAAAAATTAGAAGTTATTTACTCTAAGTATAATGATAAATGAGAGTATATTGGATATAGACAGAAATTTACATAAAAATTTTGCTAAAATTATGAAAATTAAAATTTTTGAAATAATAATAATAATAATTAAAAAGAATTAGATTAAATTTAATTTAACAAAAAAAAAAAAAAATTTTTAGCCAAAAAAAAAAAAAAAAAAAATACCAAGTGAAGAAAACAACTATTTTCTCCCAATAATAATAATTTTCAAATTTTCAACAAATCAAAAAAAGAAAGATAATATCTGACAATGCACAGCAACTTCGGTGTTGAAAAATGTGTAGCGGAAGTTGGTCATAAGATTTATTTTCAATTTTATTCCCGGGAATAAAAAAAGTAAACGAACGCTAACTAAGAAATAAACATGTTATCTTGGTGCAATCAGGGGTGTACGGAATTTTACACCTGTGTTGAAAATGCATACGACCTTCGGCTGCGCCTCAGGGTGTATAGATTTTCAACACTTTTGTAAAATTCTGTACACTCCTGATTACACCAAGATAGCTAATATTTCCATCAAGACAAATAGTAAATGAAACATTAAGGATATACTTTCTGTAAAAAAAAACACATTTACCCGATTTACACTCTATGTGTACGTACGTCTCATTCCAACATGTCTGAGCTCACTTAAAGATTGTTTACGTCACGAAATATTTACTGTATGGAATCCATATCGGTACACTAACATGAAGATTTCAGAATGCAAATGAACGATGACTTTTTATGAAATGTACGTGTTAATACAGCATTATCAAACAGGTTTAATGCATTGTTTCGTGCTTTGAAAAGTACTTTATTTGAACCTTTTCATTGTTCTTTATACGTAAATGCACTGACATATTACATTTTAAGCCAAAGGAATTTTGTTTTTTCACTCGATAAAATAAGGACACACTTGAAAAAACACGGACTGCTCTCGAAAAAACGTGGACATATAAAAATAAAAATGAATTTACTCTCCAAAATGACCTTTTCAATACAAATACAAGAATTTTTGTAAAGTGTCTATATAGCTAAGTATACATAGATTCCATGTGCACATTTCTGTTGTCATTTGCATTGGTATGTGTATAAAAATGGCTTTACTCTATATTTTGGAATAAAGCATTGCAAGGCTAAATTAAACGTTTTTGAAACAAAATAATGTAGGGTTGATAATATCTTTTTATCAAAAATACTAATTTACCTTCTATGATGTTGTATATAAGGTTCTAGTATCTTTTTTTCACGTTTTACCAGAAAGGAAGTCTGTTTGTTAACATTTTTAATAATATTCACTCGAAAAAAAAGTGGTCACACTAGAAAAAAAAAACGATTAAATCACTCGAAAAACCACGATCCCAGCCGGACACTATACCTACCGTGAATACAATAAATCAATAAAGTTATGTATTTTTAATAAGAAACAAAGTTGACCTTAGAGTATTCTTGTTGGTCTGTTTAGGTTGTTATTGATTTTTTTTGGTTTTTCGAATGTTTGTTCTCCAGGTTACCTAGATGACGGTTAATCCAGAATTGTCATGTGATATTCGCACTGAAATAGTAGACATTTGTTTTTAAATCGACAACACATTTCACTATTATACTTTAACCTGAAACAAGAGAAAATGTTCAGATTTTAGTTTCGTACAAAGAACATTTATTATATGACCTAATTGCATTTCTGCTCACTGCCTTATGATGAAATATTTTCCAGATAATAAGAGAAACGCCATTTACGGTGTTATTTGTGAGATCTGACGTGGATAAAAACAATGTCCTCAATAAGACAGAATACAATAACTTCTTCATATCATTCGATACAAATCGTAAGTAATGTAAATGTATGTCGATTAGTGGAAATATGTGCGTAACATTCTTTTCAATGAAGTTTCCAATATATAGTTTAAGCAAAGTATAAAGTGATTTATTGTATATTTTTTTACTCTTAACCCTATTTTATGTTTATAGTGCTGCTACATATACTCACGCAGTAATAAGAAATGGATTATGCCAGGAAAACAAAACAATATATTTTTCATATAATTTCTAGATAGTACAAGTAATTCATTCATACTATGGAAAGAAAAGAATAAGGCCTTCAGCACGGGAAAAAAATCTCACCGTACTGCAAGTTTAAAACGGCCCCTAGCACCGGTTTAAACTGAATTCTTGAAATGAACGTGTAAGCATCAGGAAACGCTGGCAAAATATTAATTTCAATCAGTTGTATTAACAAATTACTGAACTCAAATCATATACAACACTTATTTTACTTATTTAAGATGATAGTAAAGTGAGCAAATCTGAGATCGAGACGGCTTGGACAGCAAATGGTTTTGCCGATACTGTAAAAGACTCTGACATTTTATTCGATAAGCTAGATAACAACCACGATGGATTTTTAACCAGTCAAGACATGAGCCATTGGTTTAACGTTTACGACACTAACCGTGAGTATAAAATGAGTTATTCGCCATTTCATATCGACAGAGCCAATAGAATGGAAATAATTATTTTATTTGTAATATTCAAGCACACCGTCTAACAAAACCTACACAACAACTTAAAATGAAATGTTACAATGTAAAAACACGCATTAGATACAATACAAAGGTAACAAAGAAACAGGCCGGTAACAACCGTTGCCGGATAGTTTTTCTGCACGAGTAGTCAGGTGAAGGTCCGAGGCGATAGCCGAGGACCTTGACCTGACTACAAGTGCAGAAAAACTATACGGCAGTTTGTTTCCGGCTGTTTTTTTTTGTTACCTTTATTTTGTATCTGACTTGTGAAGTTTCAAGAAAGAAGTAGTACATTTTTGCATTTAGAATAGGTAGCAAAATTAAACAGATTATAAACTTAAATGGCCATATACCAGTTAATGTAAGTTACAGTTTAAACAAACTTTTTTTTTCACTTCCCTTCAACCAAGAGTTTTTTCTCAAGAGATTCAAGAATCTAATAATTTTATAAAAAAGAACCATGTCAAGTAAAAGATGAATGTCGTACACATTTGAGTCTTTTTAAAATGCAACTTTGCAAGTAAGTAATGTATGAAAAACATTTCAGGGGTAAGCAAGCTTACATTTGATTTTTATTTGGGAAAAAAACGAAAAATAGGGGAGGGTTTAAAATTAATTTAAAATAAACAGGCTTGATCCTTTTTTGTTGAAAAAATGCAGGATGTGCCATTTCATTCCCCCATTCCCCCTTAAAAAATAATAAAAATCGTACGTTTGCTACTAAATTGAGGAATTCAATATGTATGAATTCAATATATATGAATTCAATAACATTTATGACAATATAAATGTATAAAAAGAATGAATTTCCTATTTCATCAGTGAATGAAATGTTATGACAAAATGGATTTTGTCTTGTTATTAGATATATATAGGCATATATTTTGGATTTTTTTTTAATTTGTCATGCTTTTAGGTTTTTATATGTCTCTAATAGTGTTAATCAGGATTAGACACGTGTCACAATATGATCCAATCGCAGCTTACCGTCCAAAATTGGTGAAATGAGTTGAATGATTTTCTTCAAGATTTGCTGCCTATTTGAAAATGTATTACACGGACACTTTTTATTTATAGGATCAATCGTGCATTGGTGAGTTGATAGGGATTTTTTCTTTTGATTAGATTTGATTTTTTTTATATATATTTCCTGTCTTTTTTATTGAAATATAAACGTCGGTACCAACATTTCTTTAATTTCAGCATTGTCCAGAATACTATTCATGTCCATATATTGAAAAAAAATATACATTTACGGACCGACCATTCATGCAGCTTCAAAAGGGGGGTATGTTTTTTTCTAAGGAAATTATTTAGTTTTTCAACGCTATCACCCAAATATTTTTTTTTTCGAAATTAGCACTATTATGTACGGTATTCGGAAAATCAGGAATCAGAACATTATTTTGTCTTTTGCTTGACCACAATATATTTTTTCTCATAAAATTGAGGATCAGAATATTTTTTTTAGGAAAAAACATACAGTAACCCCCCTTTTGAAGTTAAATGGCCAAGTCCCTTAGTGTACTGATATGAATAGTAATATACTAGATTGTTTGAAAAAAATATAGTTACTGATGTCAACTAGATATATTATTAATAAAAGACAGGAAATATGTCGGTGAAACAAAAAGTTTAAATCTAATTGAAATTCAAAGTGCTCATGAACTCACTGACACACCAAGTCCGAATGGGATAACTATTTTACACCCCAGCTGTTCTAGATTAGATAAAAAAAAACATTACGCTTCATAAAATTTAGTTTACAACGCCATACAATAATTATAATATACTTTATATATTACTATTTAGTATATACCCTTTATGAGCCCCGGACACAATGTTTAGATATATTAAATTAACAGAGAGTTTGTATCCAGTCGTCTTGGTGTAGGGGTATGAATCGTGGGTCTATATGCTAAAGGTCTTGAGTTCGAATCCCAGCAAAGATACTGGATTTTTTCTACATAAATTTTGATAGTTAGTCTTTTCTAATTCTGAGTTTTATTGTGGATTTGACATTCCCGCCAAAATGTTACAGAACAAAGGAAAGCATGCAGAACAAAGAAACTCAGGCTAGGGTGATCTGGTAGGATGATCCGGCTCAGATCACCCCTAGTAGAACAAAGGAGCTGGGATGTAACACCCGTTAATATACTGTTTTTCTATAGGTCTGCTGGGGGCAAAGTCGTACAAGTCTATACAGACATAACATATTTAAATAGAAAATTCATAGGGTCGTATAAAAATAATGTGATGTGGTACTATTGCCAACGAGACAACTAACCACCAAGGTTCAAATGAAGTGCATTTAAGCAATTATAGGTAACCATACGGCCTTCAACAATGAGAAAACCCCATACCGTATAGTCGGCTATAAAACGCCTCTACATGAAAAATGTGAAACAAATCAATTGAAAAAAAAACTAACGGTCTAATTCATAACATAACAGTTTACGAAAAACAAATATGACAGACCTGAACCAACGACAACCAATGAACTACAGGCTCCTGACTTGGGACAGACACATACAGAATGTGGCGGGGTTACACTTATGTGAAAACTTGGGACAGCACAATTTAAGAAAACACTGTAAATATCAGTTGTAATTGGCTTAACTCAAAAGATCGATACGAGGCACAAAAACAACTAACATAAAAACAATAGACACAAAGTACCGAAATAAGAGTACTCGCAGTTACTGAATGCTAGTTCTTAATCTATCATTTATTTTTACCCGACAGAAAGCATAAACTTACCAAGATATCAAATATCTAAAACATTTTAATCAAAATGACTCGAAAAGTATTTCCTTTGTAGATGACAGCCACCTTGATATTATAGAAACAGTTAAGGTAGGTTATACCTTTCATTTGAAAGATAATCATCTCAATTTTATTACAACAGTTAAAAGTATTGACACAATACACTGTTTAAGTAAAGCAAGACCTGTTGTACAACCGCTAGCACTTGTATGAATCCACTCCGGGTATTTCGTAAGGTTGCTGTCGCTCATCTTTAGTTTTCTGTTAACTACTTCGTAAACCTATTTTTATTGACGTCCATCTTCTCACGCCAATTCTGTTCTCTATTTCTAATCGACATCTGATTATAATGTCAATGAGACAGCGACAATACGACACAAATAATAAAATAAATCTAGAGGCCTAAATGTTTAGAAGTTTGATTCAATCATAAAAGACTGCAATTGTATATATTGTTGGTGCAACCATTTTTCTTATTCGACTAAAATGGAAACAACAATAAAAGTTCCTTTTAACATAGGCTACTTGTATCTTAATATATATACTGAACTTGGTTGGTCTCAATCGGCGTAGAAAACAAAGAGAGTTTTCCAAAAAAAAAATCAACAATGAGTTAACCACTTTATAATTCGTCTTTGATTATGAAATGTACTTTTGTTTCTTATTGCTACTGATTTTTTTTTATCCGGACTGTCCATGAAAGATGTATATGTTTGAATCTCCAACTTATGTTGATATGCATTCAACACTTGGATTTTGAAAGTCGCGAATTGTATACGTATATGTAAGTCTTGGATGTTTTATGTATTTCAGATGTACCTACTTCTCCCACCAATAAATCTACAATAATATAAAGATAGCAATTCAGGTATAAAATGGATCTTTTTTTGTTTACAACTACAAAAACGGCATATATTGTTTTGAATTAAGGCAGTATGGGAGGCTTCCGCCATCTGGATTGTAAAATAGCAGAACACAATAGGTCTAGATTTGCAATCAAGTTAGCAAGTGTCGATGCAGGAATACACTTTGAATAAGGAACAGGAATGTTCATTTAAATGAACAAGTTTATGTGATTTTATCTTATAATGACTAATATCTTTAAAAAGGTAGAATAATTTTGCCTGATTCTTTTTTAACTTAGCGAATTAAGGGACGGTAACTCAGAAATTGTATGATTTATTAAGGAATCTGCAGGATTTTTTTTCCATATTATAGAAGGAAAGATTACGGTGATCCCATTTTCTTTTGATGTTCTTTTAAAAATAGCTATCTTCTCATATACTATTTCCAAAATTATATAATTAAATTTACCTTCTATTCACATGATTATTTTTGGCGGCTGTAGAATCTATATAAAATGCGACATTTTTACAACTAGTAGCTTGAAAACAAGTTCGGTGACCTATTATTTCTATAATACTTTTGAATATAATATTATAATTTTATAACATTAAATAAAACATTTTGGCAAATAAAATTGAGAATGGAAATGGGGAATATGTCAAAGCGACAACAACCCGACCAAAGAGCAGAAAACAGTCGAAGGCCACCAATGGGTCTTCAACACAGCGAGAAAATCCCGCACCCGGAGGCGGGCTTCAGCTGGCCCCTAAACGAAATGTGTACTAGTTCAATGAAAATGGACGTCACACTAAACTCCAAAACATATAAATGAACTAAAATTAAAAAACATACTGCAAGACTAACAAAGGCCAGAGGCTCCTTACTTGGGACAGGCGGGTTAAACATGTTTTGTGAGATCTCAACCCTCCCCTATACCTCTAGCCAATGTAGAATAAACAAACACACAGCAATACGCACAGTAAAACTCAGTTTAAAAGAAGTCAAAGTCGTTTTGAAATTTTCTATCATAGTAATATGCTATACAATTGCAGGGAAAGAAAACATAGAAATGTATCACTAAAAGCAGTAACTCCTTTTGATACATGCACAGACAGGCATTGCAATAGATACTAGTATTAGCTGCCTACTTGTTAATGATTAGTTCTCTGAAAATAATGCAATTCCTGTACAAGAAAGTTTTTAATTTATAATGTAAACAATTGCAAAAAAATAACATTAAGATAAATTTCTCTCTATTTGCTTGATATTTATTTACACATATTAAGATCTGAATTGTGAATAGATTTTGAAGAATTTTCTGTTATATCAAGTTTGACAAACAAATGCGTACGGTTGAGACATAAATAATGATTAATTAATAAAAATATATATACATATTGCAAGCCGCGTTAAATATGACATATGCAGAGCCAATAATGTTCCGATGATTGACTCGAAAAAGTCAAACAATAATTAATGGTTTCAATGAATTTTTATATTCTATTATTTTGTTTCAATTTTTGTAATTTGTAACATAAAAAGATGAACACATTCATTAAGATTCGATCTTAACTAATTGCCCCTAGAAAAGTATTGTTTTATTCAATGTTTCTTATTACAGGTTGACGTTGCTGCTAACCAGTTGATTGTTTCACCAACAACAAAATAAAATTGCACACAAATAAACATAAAGTGTTCTTTTAACAGGCAACCTTAACTTGGGGGCAATCAAGCAATTTAGCAATGTTGCAAAGAAATAATTTCTAAATAGACCAATTTTGTGGTAATTTGTAGATGGGTCGACACATTGGGACAATTATCCGCTATCTAGCGTCCTTTGTAGTCGTCGTAAATCTTAAAGCGATGTGCAGTATTTCGGATTTATTTTGTATATGTTTACAAGTCGTAAAATTGCATCTGAACATTGAAAAATATGGTAATTGGAGCATTTACATTTCCTGAAAAACAATCATTGAATCAACGAAAAAATCTGTTTAATAGATTTGTGAGTGTAAGGAGTGTTCGTAAAAAGTGAAATAAAAGATTTTTTTCCCAATTTAATCGACATTTCTAAAAATTCTGTTCACAGAATTTTGTTTAAAAATGATATGTTATTGCTGTGAACTTAATGATCAGAAAATATTAGAAGTTTCACAGTTTTGTTTTTGCTTAATTAATTATAATCTAATTTTGGTGAGGGCAGAAAAAAAGAACAGACGGTGTCCTGTTGAAGTTTGTTTTCACTCTTCATGTCGAGTCTATAAAAATAAAATCCAATGATCCATATACATTTTTGTTGTTGAAACGGACACGTTCATAGCAACAATATTATTACAAAACATATGGACATGTTTTTTTGAAAATTGGCAATTTAAAGTTCTGCTTTGCATGTTTCATCCATCATGCGTATCAACACTCAGTCAAAATGTCTCAATCGGGAATAGGACAATCGGTAAATTACAACGTAGAATTTAAAAACCTAAGACCGCGAAACCATGTCGCTAGTGAGTTGAGATACATACATATCGTATCGGTCGATCAATTCGTGATGGTGCCCGTAAAACGTATGTAGTGTTGATTTAAATCGTTTTCCTTCCAACTCTGTTGGCGTAGTTTTTGTGTCTGCATGAAACAGACCGTACATTAGTATTCTTTATTACAAGATGAATGAGTTACAAACAGCAATGTCACCGAATTATATAAAATATTTAGTAGAGATTATCTTCATGCGTATAGCGGAAAGTAAATTAATGGTGGAAGATTCTTTCATTTTGTTTGAGAGGTTTCTGTAAAAAATCTACCTTATAGGAGTACAGAAAAAGGTCTGATAGAAGAGGGCAATACGTTTGCCGTCAGTCACTGTCTGTTGTGGATAGATATTTAAAATAAAATTAAACTGTAAAGAAGAACAAACAAGAATGCCTTCCATTGAAAAATAAGACCTAAATTACATATATCAATATAATAATTTACACTCCCCACTTATTTTATGATGACACAATTTGATAGACCATGTTATATCGATGTAAATTGAAACATAAGGAATTTGTTGCCTTTGGTGAGAATTCTGGAATTGCCGTCGGAAGAAATGTTGTTGGCAGCACATATAGTTGTTATAGGTCTAAAAGAGGGACGAAAGATACCAGAGGTGTACAGTGTTTAATCATAAAATATTTAAAAATTCTAAGCAACTCAAATGCATCCTTTGTTTTTTTGAGGTTTAATGCATAAACAAAAAACTGTCAATACACATGTTATTAAAGTGTTTCAGATGTTTTTGTCCTATAAATAAAAATAAAATATGTAAGAAACTTGGGTTAAAAGTCAAATATCCTTTGTCAATATTACGTCCGGATGAGTATGAACAGACAGACTTATGTGCCAATTGCTAGATTTTGGGGAAACAGGAGACAACTATTTGTCAATTAGTGAGAAGTTAATGACATACGAAAACACACCGGCGTTCCAATAGTTGAAAATTCTATAAATGAAAATAACACTTCACAAGTTTTAGCTTTCTGAAAAGCTTTGGATTGCTTCGCTTGCCATACTTTTAAGTAAGATGTGGTCTATGTGGTTGTTTATGTGTTATTTATTTATCTCCTTTGTGCATATACTCATAAGTGTTGTAATATAAGCCAATCTTAGATCGGACGTATTATGGTATACTGTAGTTTGTCCATGAACACTTCCTACAATAACTCAAATTAGCTTTAACCAATTCCCACCAAATTTTAACGAAATATTAGGATTGATAGAAGGAAGCTTCCTTTTGATTGTAAAACTCTTTGGTGTCGTCTTTCCAGAGATACCGTTTGATTTTGAAAATTTATGATTCTGTCATTTCACAGTTATTGAATATGGCGGTCAGATTAAAAAATGGTTTATGGTTAGTCGTTCCAGAGTTATTGGACTTTTAACATTCATTTTTACGCAGTATTTATTTTCAAATGGATGTTTTCATTGCATGTTGTCCTACACAGCCATTTTACTAACTTGTTATTAGATGCTTCCTAAATATTCCAGGTCATTCTAACGACAATTCTAATGCAAAATTCCGGGGTTTCTTGTGCCGTTTGTGTAGCTTGTTATTTTTATATATCATTTGTTTAAAAAAAATTCTTGAAGATCATTGGCAGTAATATGTATTTTAGGTGTTTGTGTATATGCATATATAGCCAGATGATCACTCAGAAACTTGTTCATCTTTGGCACTTCTCTTATTTATCAACATGAAATTGACTCGACATTATATAAGCAAGCTAAGCCAGTAAAGGGAACATTATTCATTGATCTGATATCGGATCGCATCTTGAATACCCATATTGAAATTTTCCGTTTTTATAAACTGGTGTCACGACAACTAAAACGGTAACCCTGTATAAACTGGTGTCATGGCAACTAAAACGTTAAACCCGATAAACAGGTGGCATGGCAACCAAACGTTATCCCTGTTTAAACGGGTTTCATGGCATCACGAGAATTATTTTATTTTTCATTTACGGCAAAACCATCGGAAATACTATAACAGCATGTACATTGACAGTATTTTGTGTATGCTTTTAATCTCAACAAAACAGGAATGCATTTAAGTTGTTTAAATTATTTTTGTCGGTATAAAAAGCTCTGACGAGCCATTATACACTTGCTTATATGTATCGACTCTAAATAAAGCTTTTGATTTGATTTGATCTCTCACACAGGAGAAGTAGTTATATATGTGTTGATTAAGTTTTTGATATCAAGGTATAATTTTTATTACAATTTATTAGATTTATAAGTAATACAAGATATTTTTAAGGTGTGAGTAAATGTGTTTATTTGTCCTTTTACTCACAAACCAATCAGAAATCCATCGGACTTAATCTAGCTTTTGAATGAGTCTGTATTGTTAGTACAGCAAGAATCTCCTTCCAGATTACTTTTATCAGTAAAATAATACAAACGAAAACATCTTTGATGTTTAATACACTTGCTTTTATTTTCATTAATAGAATGAATTAGAAGGAATGTCTTATTTAATATCTTGGTGTAGTATGGACATTGGTATGTTAACTTTTAGTTGTACTGTCACTTGCAGTTGTACTGTCACTTGTAGTTGTACTGTCACTTGTAGTTGTACTGTCTGGAGTTACTGTTGGTGCTGTTCCAAACGCCATTAGAGTCAGTTGTCCCCACTGTGTCAAAAACTCATCAATACTCACTGTATTGTCAGCTAAAATATATTGACGATACATTTATCAATAAATTTTGTGTATTGAAGTTTAATAATCAGATAGACAGGAAGATAGGAAAAATAGAATATAAAGAATCGCGGGCAAGCGTCAACAGTGAACCAGGATCTGTAGACCCTTCTGGACATCATGAATCCACCTTTTTTTTCATGAGGTTCGTGTTGCTCTAGTTTTAGATTTAGTAGATATAAGAAGATGTGGTATGAGACAACTCTCCATCCAAGTAAAAATTTATAAAAGTAAACCATTATAGGTCACAGTACGGTCTTGTTACGTTACGTTATTGGCTGAACATTGTTGTTTGTCTTTCCATATTTTGTCTTTTGACCATATGTTATCTTCTTTTCTTTGTCTGACGGTTTTTGATTATCGAACTCATCCAAAACCTTGCTGATACAAAACTTATGTATTTCATAAAAATCCAATAAGAAATGAGGCAAATTTCCATATAATTTACATTTCATAAGGACATCATTCCGGTAGAAATAGTAAATGATTTTTGAACTCGTCCAAGACGTTGCTGATAAAAACCTTTGATATAAATTTCATAAAAATCAGACAAGGAATGTATGCTTGAGAGCGCTAACTATGCAATTTCCAACAGATTCTACATTTCCAAGGGACATAACTCCTGTAAAAATAATTGTTGAGCGCTGATTATCGTACTCGTCCAAGAAATTGCGGATATAAAAACACTTTAAAATCATTCAAACAGGGAATAAAGGCACGAGAGTGCTTATAATGCAATTTCCATATAATCTATATTTCCAAGGGATACAATTCCTTTAGAAATAGTTGATCGGCATATTTTCGAGCTAGTCCGAGACATTGCTGATATAAACATTTCATATACATTTCATAAAGTTCTTGCAATAATTGAACGTGTGAGAACGCTCTCAAGACCGTACGCGCACACGGACGCATAGACGGACGGATTCCCGGTATTTTTATGACCTTACCACCGAGTTGCGGTGGAGAACAACAATTAGCAGATGTCTGGAAAAAAAAATATACACGAGAGTCAAATCGGTATACCCTTTATTTAAGGCGAGATCAAATTGAATACATTACGGCATTTTTCTTTTATAATTATTTTCAACTATTTCTCAGAAACATTTGACCTTCTTTAAACGGTTTATTAAGTCAGAGGATGTATATCTATGTATCTGTAGTTATTTAGATAGATGGATTCTGTTCAGGTGCACGTTAACGGATGTACGCTGACTAAACTAATTTGGCTATGATGTGAATCGCGTACTACCGAAACGATTGAATTCAATTATAATTTTGGAAAGATGCTTTTGCCATCGAATTTATAAAATCTAAAAATATAAATAATCGTGCAATGTCATTGTCATAGATTGAAATCGGGTAAAGATTAGAATCGTATAACTTACAATTTACATCGAAGAATTTGAAGATAAATGGTAAATCAGCTGCATCGATAAGAAGATCGTCGTTGGCATCAGCTTTATCAAACAACACATTTGCTTCTTTTTGGGTTCCTAACTTGTACAGAGATATCCAGTCAGTGTCAAACTCTTGCTTAGTTATATTCCGGTCTCCTAAAATCAAATAAGGTACGTATACTTAGAAGGTATATAACGTTTTAATTCATAAATACAATCTCCCATAAGCAAGTGTCCTTCTTTCCATGAAATACCAAATAATGTCACGAGGCAACTTTTAAAAAGAAATTCAAAACACTTTTATATATCATAGTATTATTAGATTTACTCAAGTTCTTGTGGATGGTCCAACAAGCACTTGTCTCAGAAAAAAAATCACATCTCTATACCTGAAAGTGAGGTTAATGAACAGATATAATTTTTTTTCTGGGACAAGTTCGTGCGTGGATGATAAATTAATGACAGGGAATTCATCCTCACTGTAATGACTATTATATTGTAGTGATACAAATCAGTATACTCTGGTTTATTGTTATATATTATATTAATACTTGTATATTACTCAACGGTTACATGTATATATGATTTTCATGGATTTGTATATCATTCTATTCTAATATATTAATAATAGTGCAGTGCAAGTGCATGGTGGACACGTCACACTTCTGTAATAATTCGATTTTTCTAATAGAATGTATTTGAGTAGGCATTCGTATTTTCCCGCAAAAAATGTTTAATCATCCATGCAGAGTTATCGTTCCTTGAGATTGCAAACGTTCTTGAGATATTCTTCCGCATGCGTGTGCATAGATATTAATGATTTTTTACTTATATGTATATACATATAACAAAAAAATTTAATATTATTAATTTATCTTCTTTAAAAAAATATTTGATGAGTATTCATTGAAGAAATGAATTTATAACAAACGATAAGGAATGTTAGTTTGCACTTGATGATGTCTACGTATTCATCATGTTTATAGATCGGTTAAAAACCCAAAACGAATATTACGTAATGGAAATCTAGCCGATAGCAATACACCGGAATGACCTCACGGTCATCCGCTGTAAAAATCATATCGTATAGTCAGCTATAAAAGGCCGCGACATGGCAAAATATAAATAAATACAAACAAACAAAAAAACAACAGCCTGAACGAAAAACAAATATAACAGACAGCGACCAATAACAACCACTGAATTACAGTCTACTGCCTTAGGACAGGTACATAAATCATGTAGTTAAGTGGACCATGTACTAGTATATAGAGTAAATTCAAGTATTCTAATAATTTGAACAATAACTATGGATTTTTATGTCTATATTTTAAAGGATTTTAAGAAATGCGCCATCACTGACGAATTTCTTATTTAGCAATAATATTTTTTTTCTCACATTATTCCAATATTGTGTACATTCAACTGATCAGTTGATAATCATTTGATCAAAGTCTAAAATGAGCAGTATTTGTACTCGACTTAACTGATTTTTACTCGAACATTTTGAATAGTTTACCTCCATCCTAACCATACTAGACTGTTCTGCTTTGTACTTAACCTAATGTGAACTATACTGAAAAGTCTGAACAAGTAAACGACCCGAATGGAATAGATTTAACCGACCGATTATTGACCTGTACTCCTATATTTCTGTACTAAACCTGTTCTTCCTGTTTTCAATGTCTGAACCATATTCGACCAGAGTAGTGCTATCTTAACAATCGCGGATGTGTAACTTACTACAATTTATTTATCTTTACAATACCTACAAATATATGTACTTTTAACATTGCCATGATATTTGTACTGTAATGCCATAGAATCATTGAGTATCGAATATAAATTGTATGCATATTTATTTATCATTATTATTAAATTTATATGTTTAAGTCTTAATGTATTAGTATTGTTTTAAGAGAGTCTTATTAAAATTTGGTGTAATCAAAATGAGTTACTCTCTCTAAATAAAAATATTATTATCTTTGGTCAATTATGGTACAGACTTGAGTCGAGTATGGTTCAGACTTAAGTCGACTAAAGTTCAGACTTATGTCGAGTATGGTTTCGACTCTATAAAAAAAATGGGGAAGAACTGGTTTAGTGTAGGTCCAGACATAAGTATGGGTCAGACTACAGCTGAATAAAATTTGACAAATTCAGAATGATCGAGTAAAAATCAGTACAGTTGAGTACAAATACTGCCCTTTTCAGACTTTAACTGTAGTGATCTGACTAATAAAAATGTCATCTAGCTAATGCAGTATTTTGCTTTCTCCTACGTTTGCACTATCAACAGATTCTCTTATTTGTTCTTGCAAAATGAATATTTTTCGTCCCTCAAAGAAAATTTAAATGTATTAAGTTTGAACTCGAACAGCTTTGCATAAAACCAAATCAAATGGCACATCACCGTTGTCTTGACCGGATACTTCTTACTTCACGTGGCTTGCTATCCATTTGCATACGACTAAACGATATTTTTTATATGAATGTTTAAACCGAGCACTAGCATAAATGTTAAAAAAAAATGACCAAATTATCGATTAGATTTAAAGGTCACAAATGTAGGGCAACATAGAAATAATTTCAAGAAGTACAAGTGTAACAGTCTTCTGAAATTGTGTTTGCCTTTTATGTTTTAAGTTTAAATAAAATAATGGCCTTTACATTAGTAAGAATAAAAGTGATCATTTTGAATGGTACAGATAGCAATATTTTCCGAACGTTAACCCTCAAGCTTTGACACGCATAGATATTTTGAGAGTCTTAGATATGACCACGTTCATTTATATATGGCCATATTTTTTTCAAAATCATGGAGTCAGTTTCGTCTTCGTGTACCTCACCCCATGCGTGTTTACTTTGAAAAGCAAACATATTTTATTTGACTTACCATTTGTATCAAACAGAAGAAAAACCGAATCAAGTTCTGCCCTGGTCAAATATCCATCCAAATTTTTATCAACTTTTTCAAATAATATTTGCTCTCTCTGTGGTTCAGAATCTGCAAGGCTGTAAAATGGGAATGTATTTATAGTATAACAGCGTCTCTAAAGAATTACAAATCAATATTGGTGACTACACATTCAGAATCACAAATCACGGTATAACAGACAAACACTATTGGTGACTAAGCTTTCAGAATCACCAATCACGGTATAACAGACAAACAATATTGGTGACTAAACAATCAGAATCACAAATCGTGGTATAACGGACAAACTATATTGGTGACTAAACATTCATTATCACAAATTGCGGTATAACAGTCAAACACTATTGGTGACTAAGCTTTCAGAATCACCAATCACGGTATAACAGACTAACAATATTGGTGACTAAACATTCAGAATCACAAATCGCGGTATAACAGACAAACACTATTGGTGAATAAACATTCAGAATCACAAATCGCGGTATAACAGACAAACACTATTGGTGACTAAGCTTTCAGAATCACCAATCACGGTATAACAGACAAACAATATTGGTGACTAAGTATTCATAATCACAAATTGCGGTATAACAGACAAACACTATTGGTGACTAAACATTCAGAATCACAAATCGCGGTATAACAGACAAACACTATTGGTGACTAAACATTCAGAATCACAAATCGCGGTATAACAGACTAACAATATTGGTGACTAAACATTCAGAATCACAAATCGCGGTATAACAGACAAACAATATTGGTGACTACACATTCAGAATCACAAATCGCGGTATGACAGACAAACGCTATTGGTGACTGAGCTTTCAGAATCACCAATCACGGTATAACAGACAAACAATATTAGTGACTAAACATTCAGAATCACAAATCGCGGTATAACAGACAAACAATATTGGTGACTACACATTCAGAATCACAAATTGCGGTATGACAGACAAACACTATTGGTGACTGAGCTTTCAGAATCACGGTATAGTAGACAAACAATATTGGTGACTAAACATTTGCGGTATAACAGACAAACAATATTGGTTTCTAAACATTCAGAATGACAAATCGCGGTATAACAGACAAACACTATTGGTGACTAAGCATTCAGAATCACCAATCACGGTATAACAGACAAAAAATATTGGTGACTAAACAATCAGAATCACAAATCTCCATGCAAGTATAGTGAACTTGTTGAGTCAATGTCAGAATTTTAATGTCTTTGTTAGTTGAGACTGACTATAACGAAAAACAAATTCGTGAGGGAAACCGTTGAACTGTTGAAGTGATTATTTCAGAGATTCATTCTCGTAGTGTGGATGCACGATTTTGGGGTTTTCTTTATATCTGGCATCCGTGTTAGTGAAGTTGTCATAATGATATGAGAACACAATCAACTGAGATATGTAGACACGCTTTAGTTTATGGTATGTTACTACTGCACAAAGGGAGGTTAAAGTTGCTTAAAACTGTTTTAAATGATCATGAGCTTTAGCTTCAAAAAAATATCTAGATTTAGCCTGGATATACAAATGTTTGTTTTGAGATATTGATACCCAAGATTAATTTCCTTTGCATGATCTGCAAGTTCGTTTACCATTTTTGGGATGCATAACTTCTATAAAATGAAGTTGTATTCACAGATGACGACGGATATGTTCCAATCGTCGTTACCAGAATCCTGACCTCCTTTTTCCGGATGGTGACCTTCCGAATTAGACTTATCACCGGGTTTGTACTTACATGAGTAACACGAAGGTTGCCACGTGTAAAGCAGGATCTGCTTACCCTTCCAGAGCACCTGATAACATCCCCGGTTTTTTGTTCGTGTTGCTCAGTCTTCAGTTTTCTATGTTGTGTTTTGTATACTGCTGTTTGTCTTCAGTCTTTTCTTTTTTCCCCATGGCGTTGTCAGTTGCATAATGTTTTGTGGACTTTAGTTTGTCTTGTCGTATTTATACTAAATGAGGTTGTATTGTTTCTTTTTGATTGCCCCCTTGGTACATTATTGACTTTAATTCTTCTTTTATATTTACTTAAAACCCCACAACCCTTAGCCATACTTACATTCCTGCGAGAACTGCTAGGAGAGTTATTACGCCAAAAATCTAGAAAATATTTATTCTTAAATGGACTGACCTTTTCATTTAGTAATCAAACATATATAAAATCTAAAAGTGAAGTATTTGCAAGTGTGCAATTGACGTCATAAAAATCTGTAAAAATAATAATTATTATACGTTCTTATATGGACCGACGCTTTTGGTTAGCTAAAGTAAAATACAATTACCACTTTGATATAAGCAAGGGCTATGGCAAGCCGTTTTTATATTTACTCAATTTCAAGATATCTTATAAAGTAAATAAGATATATATAAAGTATATAAAATATATTGTATTCTTTATGAGATATCGTATTTAATTTTAAGTTAATAATATATCTTATTAATTTTATAAGATTTATTATTAACTTTATAATATATTTTTAAACTTAATTAGAATATCTTATAAACTTCATTAGATATCTTTTAAACAAATACTTTATGTGATATCTTGTATAGTTTATAAAAATCTTTAAAAAAATATATAAGATATCTGATAATTGTATATGAGATATCTTTTAAAATAACAATTTATCTTTTGAACTAAATAAGATATCTTATATATAGCCTAAATAAGTTATTTAATAAACTAAAAAAGATATATTCATAAACGTTTAATATGATACCTTATTGAATTCTGCAGATACCTTATATACTATATAAGATATCTCATTTTTTTAATAATATATCTTATTGAATTTATAAGACATCTTAATTTCTGTCATCTGTAATTATAATGTATAATGTATAAGTGATGCTCCTGTAGCGCAGTTATTGCGTCCGACTTTATTTGATAAAGTTCTAAAGTTCTATTAAGATATCTTGAAAATGGAATAAATACTAAAACGGCTTGCCATTAAGAGCTGACAAAAAATTAAAGTTCACGTACAAACAAATAAAAACAGACAAATTTCAAATTCAACAAAATAAAGTAAAGTGAGTGGGCATTTGACGTCGTAGTTAACATGACAACGACCGCCATTTGTTTTGAACACCATATTATTTTTGACATTTATTCTTTGAAATATCTTCAAATATCTTCCTAGAAATGGAAAGGGCGTGTTTTTGTGTTATTGATTGAGATGAAATGTTTTGTGTAAGCTGTGACCTTTTAAATATTGTCCAAGAACTACTAAAATCTATCCTATATAAGGGATGACTCAAAAGGTCACGTACAAACATGAAATCTTTATGGTTAAACTGGTTAAGAAATAATTTTGTCGAATATGAAGGTAATAAACGAAAATTTCGTCAGAGTCTTAATAAAAAGCTCCTGGTATATAAGTAGTTAGAATGCTAGCCACTGTACTTCCTAATCTTTCGGACGTCGTAATATTTGTTGGGAGAGGAAGAACCAAGTATGTTCCATTAACATTGAAATATTTAAATCAACCAACAAAAAATATTTAGTTATTCATGCTTTCGTAAGTTTTATACAAATATTAGTTTTTGGTTGTTTCAACTTTTATTTCTTTTAAGGTAGATAGGGTGTCTTCCTCCATCTTGGATTTTGAAATACCAGAAAACAATCGGTCTAGATCTTTAATAAAAGGTGCAAATTTTGAGAGTAGTAGTTTATTCATGTGTAAGAATTTTCATTTCAATATAGGAAATGACATATTTTATCATATTTATGGTTGTATTTTACAAAAAAACAGAATACTTTTGTTTGATTCTATTTTTTCCAACTTTGCCACATAAGGGGAGGCAACTCAAATGTAAGGGCAGATAATTCAGATAAAGTTACTTTTACAATGGAATGTGTTAGGAATTTACCTATTTTATTATGTAGCAAGAAAACGGGTCCCGTGACCCCATTTTTTCTTTTTCTTATCTGAAAGCATACTATTAAAGCTATCTTCTCATATTTTATCTCAAAATTCTATGGTGTAGTTTTCGTTTTATGGCAGAAAATTGGGTTTTCCATGCATAATCCATACAAAATCTGTCAATTTTGCACAACCTGTAGCGTGAAAATAAGCCCCGTGACCCATTCTTTTTATTATCTTTTTTTAAAAAGCATGATATAAACTACATTTTGGCAAATTATTAAAAAATTCTATGGATTGTAATTTAGACACCCCATCTACCTTAAGGTGGAAACCATGTGATAGTATAAGTACAGACAAAAGATAAGCTACAATGTAGGTTTGGAACATTCAGCTCTGTTTTTGTCACTCTTTATCCTAACGCGTTAAATTTCCAACGTATTATACAAACATTTACAAATTAAAGTACAATCGATCAAGGTACTTATTTTGCTTTAAAGAGAATAGTACAATGTTATATAAATATATTTGATAAGAGAAGAAAACAAGACTTGCCTTTTTCATGTTGTCTGGTTACGATAAGAGAACAAGGCTGTAGAATGTACGCCTTAAGTACTGATTTGAATTATCAGTGCCACCTGTTATCTTAGATTTCACGTCAACATAGAACTTACTAGAACTGCTTTATATGCATTTGTGTCAGATAGACTTTAAGATACATGTTCGGGATCAAAAGGCGACATTTTGAAAGCTCAAAAAGCTAGTTTAAGGTAACACGATAACGAATGGATATCTCCCGATTTCTAAATTTTTTGGCACATTTGTACTTTGATTCGAGTTACATCGGAATAAGAAATAAAAAATGGGGTCACCATTCTTGTTTTTTTGTAATTTTGATAAGTAAATGTCAATTTTGGCGCCAAATTTACATAGATATATAGGGAAAATGCCTTTTTTCGACTTACTTTTCTAGATTTTTCAATGGATGTCTATTTTCTCATATACGGAGAAAGACTAAAAACTAACATAATATCCAGGAATGTGTACCAAATCTATACATACATAAAAAAACATATGTCACCATCCTTGTTTTTCAGATAAATTGCTTCAAAGATGATCGATACGCTTAGAAATTGACAAAAATATGTGACGTTACGGAATACAGAATATAACGTTGTTTTACATTGACTCATTTCAGTTGTCTTTCATTTCCTGAAATTCACGGAACATAAAAGTATCAAGTAAATAACACGCAATTATGTATAAAAATATAATTTAATGGATATGGTCAATTAGATAAATACTGGCTAACACGATTTATAATTTTCTTCTGATTACTAAACCGTGGTTTCCCATTTGAAGTCCTCTCAGCAAAAATACTCCGAACGCCGTCTTGTCCAGCTCTACTAAAAGAAGACTTGATATGATCAAAACTAAGTCCACTTCCGGCTGCCCTATCGCACAGTGCTTTTGACATAATCTTTTCTCTAATAACCCCATTATAGGAGACCATTAAATGTTTCTTTGCGTGAGACATCTTCAATTGACGTTCTATTTCATTTACAACGAAACTATTCTCAATAAGTTGTTCTTTTGCATTGTCTACCTCTATCAACTCCTTTAACATTTTTACATCATCAAGGGCATTGTGAGCATTATATGTTGTCTTAAGAATGTCATTAGCAAGAGAGCTCTGTGAATATGATTTTATTTTCGGATATTTAACACGGAATAATGGAAGTGTGTCTGAAAATCCTAATATACGGTCTTTGAGGTTTTGTAAAATTGTTGAATTTAAATGCTGCATCTGGGCTACAAGTATTTTTGCATCGAATTGTTTACAATTATGTGCAACCAGTAATGAGTTTTTCGGAAATAAAACTATTAAAAATATTCTCCTTTGTTTCTGTCACAAGTTGCTGACCTTTATAATAAAGACGCGTCCCTGTACTGAAAAGATGGGTGACTTCGGTAGTTTTTGGATGAATCGGTTTTGTCGGAATAATGTACTTATCAAACTCTCCTTTGTTACAAACTGCTGACAATTGAACTATCTCGGAATCGTATCCTGTAATAAATGCATACATATGATCATAATTATGTTGATTGCTATAACGTATGATTGTTTCTTTTTCATAAATCGATAGTAATCGGGTCAGTTTGATGATCCAGAAATTAGTGTTTTGCAAATGAAATATATTACAAAAGAACACAGCGTCTTACATTAATTGATATGGGCTTATAACTGTATGAGTGGCTGCCTGTTGATTTTACCATAAACAGGTTTTCGGAGCCTTTTATAGCTGACTATGTGGTATGGGCTTTGCTCATTGTTGAAGGCCGTACGGTGACCTATACGGTTGTTAATTTCTGTGTCATTTGGCTCGCTACTATCAATGTCGACTCTTGTTGGTAGTTCTAAATCACTTGGGTCTGGGATTGTTTCGATGTCTACATTATCCCCATCTGGTCCCATGGCAATCAGTGATTTGTAAGTTATACCATCTTTGGTCTCTTTGGTTAAAGTGCTAATAAATGAATCGGACTCTACTTTTTCTCTTCCTTTTGATAGCCGGTAACTTTTTCTTTTCTGCATCTCTTTTAGCCTTCTCGTCTAGTTTTATTGTTTTTGATACCGTTACTTTTCCAGGTGAAATTTCATGATTTTCGTTTACCTGTATACAATAAAAAGTTAAATTTATAAGCTTATTTGAATAAAAATTTGATGATTATAAAATTACATAATATAACAATAAAACGCTATTTTGCACTTCTTTAATATTGTGTACTTACTTCGGAAGATATCCAATGTTTTAAATTAATCTATTAAATCGACAAAAATATATTTATTCTACCTTACAAGACAAAAACCTCTAGACAAGGAGAAAATTTATCTCCTTTTCTTTTTTCCTTGTATCTGAATGACTTGGAAGATGTTTTTCATAGAAATGATGTAATAGGTTTAAACACAGTAACAAATGAAATAGAAGAACAAATTAATATTTACTTCATACTTTATGTACTACTTTATGCAGATGATGCTGTTTTATTTTCTGAAACTGCAACAGCAGCTAAATACATTTTATGAATAATGTGATATATGGAAACTGAAGGTTAATCCAACCAAAACAAAAATTGTTTTTTTTTTGGTAATGGTAGATTCTCAAACAAAATTTTACACTTGATGGTAATGATTTAGAAATTGTCAAGGATATTTCATATTTAGGCATTATTTTATCATAGTATTTATATAACATTAGAATTTGTATTTTAAGTCTCCTCTTCGTGTCCTATTCAAGGGACAAAAAAAAATCGCAAAACATAATGACACATAAATTAAAGTACTTACGTCAACTATATATTTTCGCCCACAATTCAGTTGTTCCACACCGGCAGCTACTCTGAAATTCAGGGACTCTGATCCGCCAAAATGTTTGGCTTTGGGTGCTTTTGTTGCAATTATATGATTCAGCGACTCATTCGCCTGAGAGGTACCAATGTGTATTAGCCTATCCGATCTGTCTGCAAATCGTTGGAATAGCGTCAGTAAGTCATATCGGAGCTGTTCTCCTGACATGTCGGACCCACCTGGTAAACCGTTATGTTTGTATGTCTCTGGATTTTTCAGAAACCCGCACCACTCGATCTGATTTTCAACGATCGTGATCACCGTATGCATGAGGGACAATTGCAAGCAAGCTTTGATTCAATTCGTCAGAGTGACCTTGGTTTTGAGAAATGGCATACGAGGCACACCTTACAAAGTAACTGATTACGCTTGTGCTTAACTCCTTATGACCTTTCTTTATTTCATAAAGAGAGTTTGAAAGGGTTATCTTTATGTGATTCTTGTCAGACTGTTTGACTATATTTGGATCAACTGACTTATGAAGTCGTGATATAGTAGTTGAATCCTCATCCATGGTTATTGATTTCACTCTGTAACCCATTTCCATAAAATTAGAAACTAGATCTACTGCTATTGCTGATTCCATAGATCGTGCACTTCCTGCATAGTTCTTCCGACAGTCATGGTCTGATTGTTTATCTGTAAAAAGACACTTTCTGCAATCTGTTGATTTTACCCCAAAGTCTAAACATTTACCAGTTTTTTCTCCAATCATCGTAGCATGTCCTGAAAAAAAAAATGAACATCAAAGTACCTTGCATTTATAATGAAGTAGTTTCACAACAGATTAAAAAATTCAATACATTATAGCACATTATAGAGATACAGATTACATACAACCAAACTAAATGTATAAGTAATTAAGGTTACAAATAATAACATAAACTCTACCATTTATTCGACAACAAATGCGCATTTCGACAATCAATGTCTCTTCAGTGATGCTCGAGGTCAAAATATTTGGAAATCCAAAGCTTGCCACAACATTCATAAAATCAAAGTACTGAAGTACTGAACATCGGATGACCGCAAGTTCTTTTGGATGGTCACAAGCACTTGTCTCAGAAAAAAAATCATTGACGGACAGATATGCAGACAAGGTGAACATTATAGGAAACTTTCATCTCGATGCGAGACCATAAATACGAGGTTTTATATAACAGTTTTAAAAAGAAAATTACAGATGGAAAAAACAAGACTAAAATTAGGCATAATAAATAGTTTATTGTGCTAGGTTTTTACCATTGCATTTTATCTGAGAATTCAATAACTTACCTGTTTTATTATTAGAATCGTTTTCATAACAGCGTAGACAACCGTTAAACTTTTGTTGGTAATAATACTGAATACATTACCTTTAACTTGTTTGTCATTGCCTATCGATAACAATGATTTTACGCTCACTCAGTCTGTCAGAGGCCTTCCAGTGGGGATTTAAATAATGATCACTTGTTACACATTTCGATACATAAAATGAAACTTTCTTTTCACAAAACTTTAAAAGATTTGTTTTAAATAATTTTAATAATATTAATAAATTCTGACTGTTGACCGCATTTTTAAAATTAATTTTCTTGTTGTAATCCTGTTGGAAGCTGCGCTGTGTAGTTTATTTTTTTATTTTATTGTTTATTGCCAAATATAATCAAGACAGACAAAAAAAGTTTGAAAGGTTACATGTTAAAATAAAGAATGGAAATGGGGAATGTTTCAAGGAGACAACAACCCGACCAAAGAGTAAACAACTTTGAACAGCCGAAGGCCACCAATGGGTCTTCAACACAGCGAGAAAATCCCGCACCCGAAGGCGCACTTGAGCTGGCCCTTTAACAAAAATGTGTACTAGTTCAGTGAAAATGGACGTCACACTGAACTCCTAAACAAATAAATGAACTAAAATTAAAAAACATACAAAATGAAGACTAACAAAGGACAGAGGCTCCTGACTTAGGACAGGAGCAAAAAATGCAGCGGGGTTAAACATGTTTAGTGAGATCTCAGCCCTCCCCTATACCTCTAGCCTATGTAGATTAAACAAACACACAGCAATACACCGCTACATATTGTGCCAAAGTCGGGCTGGGGAGGGTGCATGTTATACTGATTTAACCCACTGGATTGTGTGCCTGCACCAAGTCTAACCAGGGAGGGATTGCATGTTAAACTGGATTAGCCCCACTAAATTTGAGCCAAACGTCCGGCTATCCGGGTTTTGTGTTGTTCATTGTTGATTAAACGTCTATTTTACTATTTATGGACAGGACTCGATGGTCTTTGTTGTTGTGGTCTCTTAATTTTCCTACCTTTTATCTTTTTATGTATTATTGTCGTATAACAGATCTAAAGCCGTTTAATTACGAAACTATCTGCAATCTATTTAATAGTCCTAAACATGCATGACAAATTTGACACTAGACGTTGTACGCAAACAAAAATCAATACACCAATGTATCTAAAGTCACAATTGATACAACTTTATATAAAAATAAGGAGATGTGGTATGATTGCTAATAAGACAACTATCCACCAAAGTTTAAATGAAGTGGATGTAAGCAATTATAGGCAACCGTACGGCCTTCAACAATGAGAAAAACCCATACCGTATAGTCGGCTACAACAGTCCCCGACATGAAAAATATGAAACAATTCAATTGAGAAAACCAACGGCCTAATCTACAACAAAACAATTAACGAAAAACAAATTTTCTGCTCTTTGGTCGGATTGTTGTCTCTTTGATACATTCCCCGTTTCAATTCTCAATTTTATTATAGATATAACTGCATATAAAAATAAGAATATGTGGTGTGAGAGACAATCAGACAAATCCCTTCCAGCGGTCAACAGACGTTAGCAATATAGGTCACCGTACGACCTTCAACAATAAGCAAAACACACGCTGTATAGCATGAAAGCTTCAAATGGCCTTGTCATGACAAACACGAAAGATGAGTGGATGTCAATCTAATTAAAATATAGAACTCGGATTTCGTTATACTGCATACTCGTATGCAGTATAACGAAATCCGAGTTCTAAATTTTAATTAGATTGAGTAGATGCAGAACAGAGAGAGTGAAAAAACACGGATACCGCATGGAAACTGGCAAATGGTCCGCAATGTTACTTTGGTCAACTCACTAACTTGAAATTAAAGACCTGGCGAATTTAAGTCCTTATCTATGGCTGAGATGTATGTTTAAAAAAAAGGAAAACCAAGGTTTGTTTGGACATTTTTTTTTGCAAGTCTTGGTTTTAAATTATTTGCGAGTAAGCTTAAGGAGTCAATAACAAATAATCGCTCCCAGAAAGACGGGAAAATCCATTAACAAAAGAAAAATGAATATACGAACTACAGTGCACAGTATATTATATACATATTTTATTTGCGATCATAAAATGTACGTTGTCGTCCATTACTATGTAAATTGGCTCGATTAAAAAAAAAATCTGAATATGTTTATGTTGCCAAGGGTTTTTCACAAGTATAGTAGTTAGCAGAAAAGTTCACCAAACTATACATTTTACCTATTCAAAAACGAAATGCAAATTTCACAAGGCTTGATCCAAATAGCCTTTTTACTGTCTAATAACTTGCAAGTACGAAAAAGACAGGACAGAAGTATATTTTGTCTATATGTTTGGTGTTTGCACACTTTTAAAAGTTGATCATGCATTCGTTTTAAAATAAAATTTTGACCAGATAAAAGTTAAAAGATGACATAATTGGACAACCGCAATTGTTAAATCGCTTTGACGTCCGAAAAAAAATAATAATCAACACATGCATTGCAACTTTTAAAGCCAGTTAAATCCTTTTTTTTTGCTGAAAGAACGTGCGATATCATAAAAAATGATTATCAAAACATAACAAAAACACAAGTAAAGAACATTTAAGTATTCAATATAAATCAAAACACAAAGGTTATTCCTGATTAGTTTTGTTTTCGAATCATTTTATTTAGGCGTTGAGACCCTTTGGTGACCCCACAGGTTAAATGTCTATAACAAATACGTCGTGAATAGTGGGCGTTACAGACGAACGTTCACCTAATCTGACCCAGTCAATGGGATATTTTAGCGCGCCAATCAATGGTCTCGTCTACGCTGTTATGTACATGATTCTATAACATTTTCCACTCTCCCTTTTCTGCCAAGCGCCATCAAACGAGACGGAAAGTAACTGTTCAATGTCCACATCATTGTTAGTAGAGTTTTCTATGGTACATGTACTTGTACATGGCTGTATATCTGAAGGAAGGTTTATCTCTTCTGTTGACGTTCTATAATTGAAATACATAAATAACGAGATTTTTATCACTGAACATACATGTTCAATTTTGTATAATATGATATAAAGAAAACGGAAATTCAATCGGGTACGGATCTTTACGATTTACATTTTGAGATGTAGCTACATGTACATTTCTATACATTTTAAATCTGCTTATAAAATCCCCTTGTCTAGCATTGTTATTACACACATATATATATACATGATCAAAATTGAAAATGGAAATGGGGAATGTGTCAAATAGACAACGACTCGACCAAAGCAGAAAACAGCCGAAGGCAACTAATAGGCCTTCAACACGGAGAGAAAATCCAGCACCAGGAGGCGGGATACAGCCGGCCCATTAACATACATTGTGTATTAGTTCAGTGAATGATTACCTGGTTATTTGTATTTCCTCATCGATTCCTTGTTTACAAGTGTCAGCAGCCTTTTTCTCTATCGTCGATCCTATTTCTCGCTCTCGTTTTTTTAGTGCTTTTACAGTTATTGAAGGGACATTCATGGTTGAGAAGAAATATCCAACTTGTTCGGGTCCTTTACCAGTATGTATCATTGCTGGAAACAAATAATAAATATTATAGAATATATGGCAAAAACAATAGAACATCTCGTAATTACATTTACTGGCAATCACCACCCGGTAAGCTGAGTTCACGTCGTTTAGGTTAGCCCGGTTTTCATTATCACTTGTTGCGGTTATAAAAAGTGTCAACAGACAGTTTCTTTTAAAAAAAATATTAATTTTGATTCTAAAAAAGGAAAGTTTTAATACAATTAAAACATCATTATAAAACGGAGATGTAAATTATTTTTTTCTATTATTACTTCACTGAGTTCATGCATGGACGAAATGAAGGAAATATTTATGACAAAAAAGTATCTACATGTATGACTGTGAGTATCTTGGAAAAAATTTTTTGTTTGACTTACCGTGGCCTAGAGCACTTTTGGTATTAATATCCCATATTCCAAATCCTTTGTTTTCTTTATTTTCATCTCTGTGTTGTTTTCCCGTGTAAACACAATTGACGGTTTTACACTGCTGGCATTTTATCTTCAATACGCTACCGAATCCGTATCGTACTTCTGCAAGACAGTCTGACAGGTTGAGTGTTGACTTTTTACATTTTTTACAACAAGACAACTGTTCCGCTAAATACCCAAGCTCTACAATTCTTCTGCCCTCATTCCACAAAATAAAGTTTGAATCAGTTTGTGTTTCAAAAGTACTGGTTTTTACTGGTATGTCATCTTCTACTTTTCTTTTTTTCCAAGTGAACTTGCCCTTTTTAGAGTGCATGCGCCGCTTTTCCGCCATGTTCAAATGCAGGACTGAAACGTCTAACGGGATTTGTAATGTACGTCACAATATAAAAAGCACACACATTCCCGCAAATTTGCAGTTTGATTTTATTATACACG